TTGCCCGACTTCATTCTGTAAAGGGGGCTCTTCCTGGACTGCTCCAAGAGTGAGGAGGTGGGAACGGTCAGTCCAGTGCTGATGCAGCTCAGCCTAGAAGCACCTCATGCCCCAAGAGTTCCAAGCAGCTTCCCCTCCCTGGGAAATCCCTCCCTCTCCCTTCTTTTCTCTCCCTCCTTCCTTCCCTCTTCCCTCACGTCCTTCCTCCCTCCCCTGCCTTCCCAGGCACCCACCCAGGGATCACCATCCTGGGACCAACCCCCCTGCCAGGGTCCATCTCCAGGAACATCTGAAGGACCACCCCAGGGTTCACCTCCAGGAACCGCCCCATGGTCCACCTTCAGGAACATCTGAGGAATCACCCCAAAGACCACCCTCAGGGTCCATCTCCAGGAACATGAGGGACCACTCCAGAGCCCACCCCATGGACCACCTCCAGCAACATCCCAGAGGCCACCCCAGGAGCACTCCAAAGAGCACCCCAAGAGCACCACAGGAACATCACCCCACAGCCCACCCATGGTTCACCCAGGCAGCTCCCTGACCGTGGCGTGGTCGAAGTGTGGCTCATAGTGGCCTCCCAGCCCATAGTTGACCACTTGCAGGTACTCGGCGTAGGGTGGCCGCAGGTCCAGGCCGGTGATGGCAGCGATGCGCTGATCCAAGGCCCTCACCACGGGGTCAGCCGTGTCCTTCAGCCACGCACTGCGGGACCACCCCACCTTCAGCCCCCTGAATTCAGGCTGGGCTTAACCCTTGTGGCACTGCTGGAGGCACCAGGCCTGCCCAGCATGGCTTCACTGCCACCTCGGTGGTGGCCACAGTGGTCCCACTGGCTGGAGGACAAGGCTGGGGGTGGCTCCCACCTCTGGCTTATCCGGTACTCGGCTTTCTGCTGCTTCTCCCCAGAGGCGACCACGGATCTCTGCAGCTGGAGGACAAATGGTGGAAGGTTGCTGCACATGGGGACCCTCACACCAAGCAGAGACCCCAGTCAGGATTGAGGTTGGTGCCTACCAGCTGGCTGCCAAACATCCCCACCCCAAGGTGTCCTACAGATCCAACACAGTTGGGTGTCACCAAGTCAAACTTGTTTAGGGAAGTGGTTTAGGTGCATGTGTGAACTTGGTTTCTCCCAAAAAATCTTTTGTAGGGCTTATCAACCCAAAGGTCTCATAGAATCACAGACTGGTTTGGGTTGGAAGGGACCTTAAAGATCATCCAGTTCCACCCTCCCTCCATGGGCAGGGACACCTTCCACTAGACCACGTTGCTCCAAGCCCTGTCCAGCCTGGACTTGCAGGAGAAGGCTTTGGCTGAGCTTTGCTTTAAAACCCCTCCTATCTCTGCATTCAGCTCTCGGGACACCCTCCTCCAGGGAAGAGACATCCCTGGGGACAGGGACAGCTCACCCATGGCCCTGCCAACCCCTTGATGGTCTCAGCCTCGGCATCGCTGATGAAATCATGGTACAGTGCCACATAGGGTCGGATCCGGACCATCTCCTTCTTGGCAGGCTGGAGGAGGAGGTAGGGACTGCTGTTGGTCTCATAGGAGCAGCCAAGGTGCAGGAGCCGCTCTGGGGCTGGCTGGGAAGAAAGAGGACAAAGGAGGGCATAAGGGGCAGGGGGACACAGTGGTTGGGGGGTGACCATGGCACCCCCTGCTAGCCCCACCTGCCCCCTGGGGCGCTGGCACAGCTCCTCGTAGGCGTCCCGGCTCTGCAGGCGGGTGCTGTTGGGGCGTCTCAGGGGTCTGGCGCTCACCCCCGTCCCCATCTCCAGCAGCTTCTCATACTTGGCCACGTTCTTTGTCACCCTTTGGTTACTGGGATCTGCCGGAGAGATGGTGTCACCCAAAATACCATGTCCCCATCACCCCCCTTCCCTGGGGAATTGTCCCACGTGGGGGCGAGAAATGGGGTGAAGGAGGCTGTTGCCACACAGAGCTGATGGGGACGTCCCAAAACCTCTCCCCTCATCCTTCTGCAGCCAAGGTTGTCCCACATACCATAGTGGAGAAACTCCCTGGAGAGGCTCAAGGCATGGGAAATGTTTCCAGCCTGGATGGGGGAGTGGAGAGGCCATCAGCATCCCCTGTCTGTGGTTTGGCTCTATGGACACTGTGGGGATGGGGAGGGGGCTTGGCTTGTGGCTGTACCATGAAGTAGGAGAAGGCGAGATGGTCCAGAGCATCCTCCAGGCTGCTCCGGTCCTCCGGGTTCCAGCTGCCGTAGGAGAGGCGGAAGAGGCTGACAGCTTCCTCCAGCCACGTGATGGAGTGGTAATAGTCACCTGTGTCATAGGCTACCTGTGAGGCAACACATCACCTGGACCTGCCAGCTGGGCCATCCTGGCCTGCATCCCGTCCCCTTCTCTACCATCCCACCACATCCCCACCCTCATCCCATCCTGACCCATCCCATCCCCTTCTTATCCCATCCTATCCCCACCACCATCCTCATCCCAATCTCAACCCTATCTCCTTCCACCCTGTCCCTACCCTGCCTTATCCTGTCCCATCCCATCCCATTCTATTTCATCCTCATGCCATTCCATGCCATCCCATTGCACCCACCCATTCCGTCCCATTACATCCTGTCACTTTCCTATTCCCGTCTCCATCCCGGTTCCCTCCTATGTCATCCCTTCCTTTCCTGTCCCATCTCCACACATCCTGGTCATCTCCATCTCCCTTTCCATCTCGATCTCCATCCCCATCTGCACCTGCACCTCCATCTCATCCAATGCAAAAAAACGCCATGTCTATCCCTATGGAAGCAATGTCCTGGGCTGGAAAAGCTTTGTGGGGGCTGATGGGGCTTGCACTCACCTTTCCCACATGGAAGCAGTCATCAGCGGAGAGGGAGACGCGCCGGCCTGGGCTGTAGAGGGGCGGGTGGTCGGTGCCAGATCGCTGGAAGATGCCGTTGGCCAAGCCCTTGACACTGAGGGCGTAGACGTCCTGCAGCCGCATCAGTGCCTGGGCTGCCCCATCCAGGTCCTCGGCTCCAGGCAGCTCCTGCTCCACCTCCCTGAGACCGGCATGGAGTGCTGCAGGGTGGGAATGAGGTGCAGGGGGGGGAATTAATGAGGTTTTGGGGTGTAATCGCCTTCTCAATCCCTAGGGACCCCATATCCATCTATTCCCCTTTTCCATTTATTGTGGTCCTTCACATGTTCCATTCCTTCATCCATTCCCCTGCTCCTCCATCCATTCTTCTGCTTCTCCGCCTGCTCTCCTCCTCCATCCATTCCCTTGCTCCTCCACATGTTCCTTTCCCTCATCCATTCCCTGGGTTCTCCATCCATTCTGCTCCTCAACCCATTTTCCTGCTTCTCCATCCACCCCCTGGCTCCTCCATCCATTCCCTGGCTCCATTCTCCTGCTCCTCTACCTATTGACCCTTCTCCTCCTTTCATTCTCCTGCTCTTCCACATTCTGCTCCTCCACCCGTTCACCTCTTCTTCTCCATCCATCCATTCTCCTGCTCCTCCATCCTTTCCCCACCACTATCTGGCTCTGCCAGGTGACAGAGGGGACACGTGGCCATACCCTGGGCATTCCCAGTGGCCTCTTCGCTGTAGATGATGTTGAGCCAGTCGGAGTGGAGGCGCTTGATGAGGCTGAAGGCCAGCAAGGGATTGTCCACCGAGGCCTCTGGGTCCTGGTGCAGCACCTGGACCTTCTCATAGAACCTACAAGGCACCCACTGGGTGACACCTTGATGCTCCTCAGTGGTGACACCCCCGGGGTGGGGGCTGAGTCCCCCCATCCTGGGGCGGCTTTGCCTCGGTGTCCACTTTTGGGCCAAGCCAGAGCTGAGGGATTGTCCGCCCCCATCCCTGCTGGGTGTGTGGGATGGCCTGTGCCTTGAGGATGCTGTGAGTCACGTCCTCAGGGGTGAGGAGGCCACATCCCTGTCCAGTGGCACAGCTTGGGAGCCCACAGGCAGTGTCCGGTCTGAGCTCCCCACCCTCTTAATTAAGGGCACACCCGAAAATCGGGTGCTGCGGGAAGGTGTAGGTGGATTAACCCCCCTCATTGCCAGGGCATCACCCACCCTTGGGGCTGGGTGGGCAGGATGGGAGGGGATGCTGCGGGTGCCCCCACCCGTGACCGCGGCGGGGTGGGGGGTCTCCAGTACCTGCGGAGGCGGCGGAGGCGGGCGTTCTCCTCCCGCAGGTAGGACCGGAGCCGGCGGAGCAGGCGGCGCTCGGCGCCCAGCGCTCCTCGAACGCTCAGCATCGCCGAGAAGGTTTCGGCCGGGGCGGGGGGCGGCAGCAGCGCCAGCAGCGCCCCCAGTACCCCCAGTGCTCCAAGCACCCCCAGTTCTCCAAGTACCCCCAGTACCTCCAGTACCCTCAGTACCTCCAGTACCCCCAGCGCCCCCAGCCCCAGCAGTGCCCTCAGTGCTCCAGGTACCTCCAGTGCCAACAGCACCCAAAGAACCCCCAGTACACCCAGCGCTCCCAGTACCTCCGGTATTCCCAGCGCTCCCCGTCCCAGCAGCGCCCCCAGCACTCCCAGTGTCACCAGTGCCCCCAGCTCCCGCGCCCGCATCCGGCCGCCGCCGCCGGGGGAAAGGGGGGGGAAGGGGCGGAGAGGCCCCGCCTTTATGGGGGAAAAGGGGGGTAGAGGGGTGGGGGTTTCTCGGATCCGCCACGCTGGCTGGGGAGGGGCGGGGTGGTGCTGGTCCCCCTCCTGCCTGTCCTTGTCCCCATCCCATCCCGCTCCCATCCTGCTTGTCTCTGTCCCCATCCTGCTTGTCCCTCTCTTGTCTCTGTCCTGCCCCAACCTAATCCTGCCTGTCCATATTCCCTGCTGGTCCCATCCTGCCCTGTCCTCAGCTTCATCCTGCCTGTCCTGCTCCTGTCTGTCCCTATTTTGTCCCCTGTCCCCATCTCACCCTGTCCCACTGTCTGCCCTCACCCTGCCTGTCCCTGTCCCTATTCCATCTTGCCCCCATCCTGCCTACCCCTGCCTTGCACTCATCCTTCCTGTCCCCCGCCTTTTGTCTGTCCCCAAACTGTTCTGGACTCATCCTGCCTGTTGCTGTCCTCTGTTCCAATCCCATCCTATCCCCATCTTCCCTGTCCCCACTCTGCCCTGTCCTCAACTGGACTGGCCCACTCCTATCCCTCCCCACCCCATTCTGTCCCCATCCCATTCCTGTACCCCTCCTATATGTCCTCTGCTACCTGACCCCCCTCTGTCCTGTCATAATCCCATCCTGTCCCCATCCCATTCTGTCCTGTCCCTATCCATCCTCTCGCAGTGGGGTGAGGGTGGCAGGTTGGGAACATCCCACTGAGTTCCCAATCAATATGTGGACACTCACTATGGAAAAACCCTTTTCAGGAAAAAACCCTGTTGGAGTAGGTGCTCAGGTGCCCTGTCTGTGGGGACAGCACCACAATGGGACCCCAAAATATCCCCAGCCCCTGGAACCCCAGAGCCTCACAGGGAAAACGGGCTGAATTCCCAAAAGCAGGGCCAAGAGAAGATGGGAAATGTGGGTTTCCCAGGGTGCCTGTGCTGAGGGGCTATGAGGGGCCAGCTCTGTTCTCCACCATGGGGGGATGAGTGCAAAGACACGATGGGTGCAGGACTTTTCCCAGTTTTTTTCCCCAATACTGGCTGGATTTCACCTACTTTGGGAGGACTTTATTTGCAAGTAGCAGGGGATTGTGAGGTTGCTGTTGCAGTCAGGATGCCACAACCTATTCCTATGGAGCAGAATAAAAAAATCCCCGCAAGACTGGAGTTCATTTTCCTATGGGAGTATACAGGCCTGAAGCAGGCAAGTGGAAGAAAACAGGATTAAAAAAATAGGAATTCTCTCTGCCACATGAGGGGGACACAGGAACTGGAAACATTTTTAACTTAAACGAAGACTTTAGGGGACTTCTTCCTCAGGGAACCAGCTGCTCTCGGTGGCACTTTTTTGCTGCTACCAGGTGAAAAACGCTGATTTTTGGAGCAGCAGCAGCATTTTGGGTGCTGTGCCAGCACCCCTCGGCCAACCTGCAGCAGATCGTCCACCACCACCACCTGACTGGGTGATTAAAAAGCAATAATTAAATATAAAATTAAACAAAAGCTACGCGATGCTGAGCCTCTGGAGCATCCAAAACATGCTGGTGAGGTCCAGACCGGGATGCCAGCAGTCAGGAGTGACCCTCTTGAGTAAAACAGGCCTGTTTTAGGAAGCCTTGAGGTTCTGATCAGAGGAGTCCAGGGTGAAGAGGCAGAAGACGATTTCCTCACAGGCACTGGCAGTGCCGCACTCGAACAAGCAGCCGAAAATTCTGCCAGGACACACGGCCAGGTCGGAATACCCGGCAGGCCCTGCGTGCAGCACCCACGGGCGCCGCCAGCCCGCCCCGTCCAGCGGTGACGGGTTCACATAGACACCCAAATCGCGCCGGTGGTGCCGGCTGGTGGGGTGGGAGTAGAGCAGCCACGTGGGCGCCCCGGCGGTGCCGGCGGGCGCGGCAAAGCTCACTACGCTGCCCTGGCACCCATGTGGTGGCTCGGCCAGCGCCGGGCACCGCGTCGGGCGCTGGAAGCGCAGCCCGCGGTCGGTGCTGAGTGCCACGGCCCGGCAACCGCGCGGTGCGCGGGCGCTGCAGTACAGCAGGGGCGGGTGGGCGCCATGGATTTCGGCTACCTGGCACTCGCCCGTGCGCTCACCAGCGAGCAGGGCGCCCTTGTGCCAGCGGCGCCCGCCGTCATCGCTGTAGAAGATGAAAGAGTGCTGGCGGGTGGAGCAGGGCAGCCGCGCCGCCCCGCAGAGGTGCCCGTGCATGTAGTAGGTGTACGCCGGCACCACGAGCCGCCCCGAATCCAGCTGTATGCCGTGGCCTGGCCCCACAGCAAAGGTGGCCCAGCGGGACAGGTCGGCGCCAACGGCCTCGTCCGTCACATCCCGCAGCGGGGCCCAGCTGCGGCCACCATCGGCACTCGTGGCGAAGCAGAGGCGCGCGGCGCTGCACCCCCTCCAGATCTGGTGCTGCTCCGTCTTCCCCTGCTCTACGCAGATGCAGAAGAGGAAGATGGTGCCGCTCCTGGCATCGAAGAGCGGACACGGGTTCATGGTGCGGCGGCCGGGCAGTGCCAGCGCCGACAGCTCCTCCACCGGACCCCACTGCCGGCAAGGAGGGAAACGGGGCTCAACCGTGGGGTGCACCAGTGTCGCTGCACCCTGGAACCAGCTGGCGTCACTCCCAGGGATGAGGACACAGGTTGTTCCTGCAGCACAGGGTGGATTTTACCTTGACCGAAGAGCCGTGCTGGCAGCCCCGACGCAGCACCAGGTACTTGGCATCCTCATCCCGGGCTGAGGAGCGTTTCTCGGCAAAGGCCAGGAAGGATTCATCCGGGGGAATGTAGAGCAGAGCTGGGATGCGGTAGGTGACCCCACTTCCCTGTCGGAACAGCGTCTCCAGAGGGGAGACAAGCAGGGATTCCGATGGTGGTGGCAGTGGGGGGCTCTCCCTTCCATCCCCCTGGTGCTGGAAGGGTGGGAATGCCAGGTGCAAACAATTAAACGCCAGGAAAAGCCCTCATGTCCCCCTGTATGGAGGGATAGGGATGAGGACTCACCTTGAGGCAGGTGGTGGCCTGGAACATGGTGGCTTCCGCTGGGGCCTGAGAGCTGTAGGAGAGGGGTGCTGAGAACGGAGCCCCTTGGAGGGGTCACGCCCCACTCTCCTGCCTGTCTGTGGTGTCTCCGTGTCCTTCTGTTCCCCAGTGCTGCACAGACTTCCTTATTTCGCCCCCAAGCCCACCCCTACACTGTTCCCAAAGGGTCTGCACCCCCTGCACCCCCCCAGTACTCCCAAGCCTCCAACTCCTTTAGCTCCCCCAGTGTCCCCAGGCCAGAGCCCCCATGCCCATGCATTCCCCTGCCCCCATTCCCCCATGCACCCCCTCCCACCTGGATCTCACCCTGCACCCCCCATGTCCCTGCAACCCCCCCTACACCCCACAGCACAAATCCCCCACACCCCAGAAAGCACTGACTGCCCAATGACAGACACCCCCGCTGTGCACCCCCCTGCACCCCACATGTCCTGACCCCCCCTTCACCCCTCATGCACCGATGCCCTTATCCACCTCCAATACCCAGGCCCTCCCCGTGTATCCCCTTGAACTCCCATGGCCCGACTCCCCTATACACCCGCCCTGCACCCTCAAACCCTGATTCCCCTACATCCCACACGCAACGACGCTCCCACCCCTGACCCCCCAAAACCCTGACTCCCCTACACCCTGCACGCACCAGTCCTGCCCATTGCCTTTCCCAGACCCCCCTGTCCATCCCCCTGCACACCCAAACACCTGACCTCCCTGCACCCCACATGCACCGATCCCCCCATAATCCCCCCCATCCCGGCCCCGCCGTACACCCCCTGCCCCCCAAACCCCTGACTCCCCTACACCCCGCATGTACTGACTTCCTCACGACCCCCCCATCCCTCCATGCCCCGACACGCCGCATTCCCACATTCCCGCATCCCTCCGCAGACCCCGCTCCTGCAGCCACCGTCTCCGCCGCGCCGAGGCCGCCCCGCTCCGCCTCTTCCTGCAGCTCCCGGAGCGGGGGGGAACCGGATCAGGCGGTCGGAGAGGCCAAGGAAATGGGCGGGGATCCAAGTGTCGGGATGCCAGAGCCTAGTCCTGGTGCCAGAGGGCCAATACCTGCGCAGGCGTGAGCAGGTGATGTGCTCAAGCCCCTGCAGAGGAGGGGGAAAGGTGGAATTTCAGGAGGATATTGACTGCTGGAGCTGCTCCCGAGGAGACTCTCCTCCCAACAGGCAGGAGGGGACCCGAGAGCGGGATGGAGGTTTGGGGTGCCCCTGCCGGCCGACCTCACCTTCCCAAGTGTCCCTATGGAACAGGTGTGGAGAGTGAGGGCCAGGAAAACGATGAAGGACCATCGGGGGGTTCCCTGGGGTGAGTCAGCCAATCCCACCGAGCTCTATAAGGGATAAAAAGGGGAATCGCCCACTCCCTTCCGAGGGAAATGGAGGGCCTGATAAGCCGACTGGACCTACCCCACGAGGAATTCTGCTGCCTCCCTCGGGCTCGGGTAAGGGACACTACTAGGAAACTCCCTGATCTTTACCGCCCTCTATTACCTGCGGTTGGTTGTACAGGGAACTTACGCTGGAACTCGGGGGGAAAAAAAGAGTGGAAGGAGGGCAGGAAACCTGGGGGCGACCACAAGGATAGTATGAGGTGATGTAAGGAGGAAGTGATAAGGGCCAAAGCCAAACTGGAACTTAATTTGGCCACTGAGGTGAAAGACAACAAAAAAAGTTTCTATAAATAAATAAACAGGCAGCAAAAGGAGGGCCAAGGAGAGTCTCCATACTGTGCTGGATGTGGAGGGCAGCTGTGGCAGGGAATGAGCAAAAGGCTGAGGGACTTAATGCCTTCTTTGCCTCAGTCTTTAATACTAACACTTCAGGAAATGCAGCTCCCAGAGCCGAAGTCAGTGATGGGGAGCTGAGTGAAGCCCTCGTAATCCAGGAGGGAATGATTCTGTGAACTGGGATTCCCTCTCTGGCCTCCACCTCCCCTGAAACACCCCAGAGATGCTCCAGGACACATTTGATGTCTGTTCTTCCCTTTTATTGAAAAAAAAACCTCAAAAAATCTTTTAAAAAATGCCAGCTTATAGAAGGGACACGCAGGACAGGAGATGCCACAAGGAAACAGCGGGGCAGACGGACAGACACAGCTTGGAAAACCTCTTTTACACCTTTTTGAGAAGCTTTGTGGCCAAACACACAGAAGTAGCATATTTTATTCCCTCCCTCCCTCCTCCAACACATAAAAGGTTTTTATATAAAACAATCCTCTATCCCCACTTAGATAAATACAAAAATAAAGAAAACTCGTTTGCCAGGGGACGGTTGTTTCACAGAAGAGTTTTGTCCTGAATTCCTAACACAGAAGGGAAAGGTGGGATTAGTAAAACGCCCCTTGGACATGGAGCCATGTGATAAAGCACTGCCAGGTACAGCGGAGGAAGCTGGGGCGGCATCAGTGATGTGTCTCCCCTCACGGGGGTCCCCAAAATCCAACTTTAGGGTCTGCCCTGCAGGCACACAGCCCAAGCTTAGCCATGAGCTTCACGAAATCTTGGATCCAAGATTAAAAATCCAAAAATGGAATAGGACTTCAGGACAAAAACAGAGGCCATGATTCGCTTTCTTTGCCATTTGACTTTATTGGTGTTAACTCAGCACGTTCCCGGGAGGTGAGCGGTGTCTGACATCATTTTGTTTTCCTCTCCAGGGCCAGACTATCGTGGAGCTTGGACACCTCTGGCTCGTAGGCTTCCATGACTAATGTCCCGTTGTTATCGAAGAACTTCGCGATGGATCTGCTGCTTGGTTTTCCCGCTGATGAACGTCAGCTTCAGGGTGTACTTGTCATCAAACCTGCAGGGAGAGCAGAGAGGTCTCAGAGCAGGATCCCAGCTGGAATCAGCCGAGGAGAAAGAAATCCTCCTCTTATTTAAGGTGAAAATCCTCCCAGACTGGAGTCCCCACCTGGGCACCCACAGCTACAATGAACACAATTTTATGTTCTGTGATTAAATCACGGGGATTAAAGAGAAGCAAAACCCATTTGCGGCAGAAAACCACTCAGCACCGTTTCTAGACCAGGACATGGATTTCTGATAGAGATTTGTAGGTTTGGAAAGGAAAGGGAGTAGTTAGGGTGGTGCTCTGGAGTGATAGGGATGGAAATGGTGCCTTCTGGCTAAGCCTGGGATGTTGGAACAAAGGATACCGTTTGAGGCTGGAGGAGAGTTGCCAAACATCGTCGGGGTCCATCCCCGCCGGGTCTTTCCTGTGAGCCACGAGGAAAATACTCTTCTCCTTGTATGAGGTGTAGATGGTCAGGATTCCCATCATCACAAAATATGTGCAGAGAAAGTTAAGGAAATCAGGGAGTTGCAAGGACAGGCAGAGAAGTCACCCGGATTCCCCTCAGACAGGTTGTTTAACCCCCTCTTGTGACACTCCATTCTCATGCTTGGCTGATGCCTCATTAGCATGAGAAATTAATAATAAATTCTTAACTTTAATAATAACAAAATTAATTTATTATTAACTCCCTGGAAGCATCCAAGGTCAGGTTGGATGGGGCTTGGAACAACCTGGTCTAGTAAAAAATGTCCCAGCCCATGGCAGGGGTTGGAGCTGGATGGTCTTTAAGGTCCCTTCCAACCCAAACCAGTCTGAGATTCTCTAACATTTGCTGGGAGACAGTGGGAAAACCTGAGACTGAATGAGCCACAGAAAGAATCACTGTGAGTTCCTCCTAAGCACAGACCAAGCAATTCATCTTTCTCATTTTTGGAATTAAATAATTTCAAGTGCTGCAAGACCCAGTGTTTGTGCTGAAAGCCAACCAGAACAGCCTGGAACAACAAAATGCCTTAGAATAATGGAACTGTTTAGGTTGGAAAAGGCCTCTAAGACTGCTTAAGTCCAACTGTTCCCCCAACCCTGCCAAGGCCACCACTAATCCTTCACCTTCCTGAACCTCCCAGAGTGGCCTCAGCCCATGGATCCAGCCTGTCCAGATCCCTCTGCAGAGGTGCCGCAAGAATTCCCTCTGTTCCACTTTTCCCTCTCAGTATCTGACTTGTGGTATTAGGGAAGAGCAGACATGTCTGTAACCACACTATGGATGGAATAAGAGAATGATTTGCCCTGAGGTCACCCAAATGTAGGTGCATCACACCCAGACAGGCAGGAATTTTCCCATCACATGAAAAACTGTCTGATTATCAGCTGACCTTGGGACAAAAAATTCCCATAGGCCTGAAAATGGGAGAGACAAGGGTTTTCTTCATGAGGAAAATCAAACCCTTTTGGTAGAAGTGAGACAACATTTCTAAAGGATATGAGACAACACAAAAGGCAAGGACGGGTTTGGATTCAGGAAAAGGGTGCAGGTAATCCCAAATCAAAGCAACAATTGCAAAGAGACAAGAGATTGTGCAGATGAGGAGGCGGCCGTCGATCAAACGGAAATTTTCCACATATTTGTACTTTTCCAGGAGAACCTGTGGGAGAAAATGGGTGGCTGAGTTTATTTTGTGCTTTCCATGAATCTGACAAACTGTTTCTGGAAAAGGTTTAGAGGAAACAACCTGCATGAGTCAGGTAAACTGAGCAGAAAGTTCATGGAGAATTAATGTCAGGCATCCTGATAATTTGCTGATTAACACTGGGAATTAAGCACAATCCATGGGAATCACAAGAGATGCTACAGGCCCGGCATGGATAGGGGCACAATCAACCAAAAAAAAAGTAGAAAAGAAAATAAGAGAGTTTTCCAAGATGGAAAAAATCAGCAGTGGCAGAAGGTACCTTTTTGGCAGAGTCATCCAGGGAATTTTTCACGGCCGAACCGTCCCATTTGTCAATTTTTACTGGCTTGTCATCGATCTTCCACTGCAAAGGAAACCATAGGGAGTGAGGAGAATTTCATCCTGGTGCCCTTGTTCCTGTCCTGAACATAAAGACAGGAGCCAAACCAGAGAGCAGCTGCCTGTTTGGGAAAACCTCAGTGGAGACAGAGGGAATCTGGGACTCAAAAGCCCCCTCAGCACCACCGAACCTGTTCCCCGTGCAGGTTCCAGCTCATTCATCTTGTCACAGGTTTGAAGGGGCTTTCTACATCAGGTTTACTCTAGATTTGCTTCTACATTTGCTGCCATCCCCAGATTGTGACTGAATTCCTGCCTTTGAATGTATTCCTGCTGTTACATATGGGCTCTTCGATGACAGGAGGAAAATTCCAAGAACCCCCAACTATCCCGTGTACAAGGGGAGAACTAAAAGGCACAAACAAGAAATGAAGTTTCAGTCAAACCATCCTCCAGAATGAAACCAAAAGCTTCTGTTGCTCTTCCATATTCAGGTCTTCCTTGGAAATAGGTCCCTGCCCAATAACAATTCCCAGATACAACAGCTCAGCTTTTCCAAGGCTTCACCTTCCCCTGAACTATATTATTTTTTGAGCCCTGTGTATTTTAAGTTATTCCTTATTTCAGCTGAGTGACTGGAGATGGAATTTTAGCTGCCAGTAGAGCAATCCTCAATTTCCCTCATGTTATTTCCTGCTCCTACAGCTCCTGAGTTGGATTATTAACTCCCAGTCCAAAGAGCTCCTTTCCCTTCTCTGGAAGGAATAAAACCACTTTAAAATATGATGTAAAACTCCATCTACTTCCCAAAAAGTTCAATTATACTCCACTCTCTGCAGGTAGGAATTATTAGGCACACAGTGTATCCTGTGTGTATCCACGAGGTTTATGAGGCACAAAAGCAGAGGGATTTAAAAATAATGGAGAACTGGGACAGAGTTCAGTGTAAGATACAAAGTATTTTAGGTTTTCTTTTTTTGAAGCATTTTCTTGCAGTGTTAATTAGCACACATGGTAATTAGAAATGCCATGAAAGAATAGGAAAGAATTCTTTCAATTATTTATTTTTCCTTATAAAAGCACCTACAACAGTGGAATTGCCAAAGTTTAAAGTAT